TATCACAAAGTGGCCCATTAGAATATCATTAAAATAATTCCCGCCTACAGAAATTCGAATGGTTGAGGGGTGGGGTAAGGGATTACATCTCTGCCACAATTCTGCGCGCAAAAGATCATATTTTGAGCGCACAAAAGTGCATTTTGCACATGCGCGATCTGAGTTTGTGGAGAAAATGTTCGTTTCGCAAAGAAAAAAGTCTTTCGAGCGCACGGAAATCAATTTTGCATTTAAAATACGTTTTTGGATGTGTGCAGACCTTCTCTTTTGCTTGTGCAACGTTTCACTAGCTTGCTCACCTGATGGCCCCTCTCTGTGCTCGCTAAATGCCAACAGCTGGCGTGCTCAGCACAACCCAGCGTTACAATGTGCCATAATTCCATGAAACGAACATTTTCTCCACAAACTGAGATCGCGCGTGTGCAAAATGCACTTTTGTGCGCTCAAAATATGATCTTTAGCGTGCAAAATTGTGGCAGAAATGTAAGCCCATAGTTATCCAATTCACCATGAGGCACTACAGAGATGAATTCTGGCGTTTTACGAAGAATTCCTCAGTATGCAAAGATTTGAACATCAGTTTTGCCGAGCACATCCTTCCAGTGGACAGGGAGGCAAGAGCACTACTGTGGCCGCAGATAAAGCAGGCGAGAGAAGCAGGTCACCGAGCTTATTTCAGAGGCCCATATGGCTACATCAACGGGAAAAAAATCTCTGCTACTTAAGGTTTTTGCGGTCTGTCATTACAAAGGAACTTAAGAAGGACTCTATAATGTCTGTTTAAGGGACGCCAAGCACTTCTTTCACAGTTTATTCGTTCTTATTTACTTTGTTCTTGTTCAAATGTTCTCTTTAAAAACTGATTTCTGGTTTTCTTCATGTTAGGGGTCTTCGAGATAACGTGAAACGCAAAGCTCTTTTCTTATTCTGTAAAGGTAAAAAGGCACACTGTTATATGTTACAAGAAACTCACTCGAGTGTTTTAGATGAGAAATTTTGGACTAATCAGCGGGGGGACAAAATTGTATTTTGTCTTGGAACGAATCGTTCAGCGGGAGTTGCCATTTTGTTTCATAATTGCCCTGGAAAAGTAATTGTACATAAATCCAGTGATAATGGTCACTGGCTCGTTTGTGTGCTTTCCATTGATGACATGTTTATTATAATAGGAAATATATATGGTTATAATACTATTAATCAAAACAGGGAACTGCTATCGGAAGTTTCTGAAGTTATAATGGGCCTGAAACTTGCATATTCCACAGACAATATTATATTAGGAGGGGATTTTAACATGGTGCAGGATGATTGGCTGGACCGCTTTCCATCTAAATTTAATAGTCATCACTACAATCCTATTTTATGTAATTTTTGTAGTTCATTTGGTTTGTTTGACCCCTGGAGAGATTTATATCCCAATTTATGTCAGTATCCTTGGTGAAAACCAGACGGGACAAGTAAATCAAGATTGGACTTCTGGCTTATCTCATTCCACATTAAGGAAAATATTTTAGATTGCTTTATATCCCCCGCATCAATTTCCGATCATTGTATGGTTGGTTTAAATTTAAAGTCTCTAACTGCACGGCGTCGTAATAAGGGATAGGCTACTGGAAATTTAACGCCAATCTTCTTAATTCGGAGGCCTTTTGCCAAGGAGTTAAAAATATTATTGCAGAAGTGAGTGAAGATTCTTCACTTTCCTCGAATATTAGTAAATGGGAATATTTTAAATTTAGAGTTTGTAATTATTCTATTTCCTTTGGTAAACAGCTACAAGAAATCGACCCATTTAGAAGAAGTTAATCTTATTAGAGAGATAAGTGAATGTTGCAGTAATAGTCAGTTTGATGATTCAGATAGAGCAAAGCTTTTATTCTTGCAATCCAAACTTGATCAAATCTATGTTGAAAAGGCGAAAGGTGCTTACATCCGTTCAAGGGCCAAGTGGATAGAAGAAGGGGAGAGAAATTCAGCGTACTTCTGCAGATTGGAAAAGAGCAGGCAGGAGAAAAATAATATACGATCCTTAATTATTGATGGCAGTGAATCTTTCAACGCTAATGATATTGCACAAAAAATCTTTCTCTTTTATAGTAACTTATATAAGTCGACATTTTCTAAAATTAATGCAGATGCTTTTTTTGATAGTATTAAGCCATTTATTCCACAAATCAGTTTGGAGTTTCAAGAGATTTGTGATGCAAAAAAATCGTTACAGGAGTTAGAGAATGCTTTGCAATCTTTATCCTCTGACAAATCTCCTGGCTCCGATGGTTTAACGGCCAACTTTTACAAATTTTGGGGGGATTCAAATTTTTTTATTTTATTTAAGGCTTTGACAGAGGTTACTGAATGTCTTTCACGTTCCCATACTATGAAGCAAGGGGTTATAATTCTCATTCCCAAGCCAGGCAAAGATCCTAAGATTTTAGATAACTTGCGGCCCATTACATTGTTAAATAATGATTATAAATTGTTAGCACACATTTATTCTAATCGGCTGAAGACTGGATTATCTCAGATTATAAACAATACGCAGTCAGGGTTTATGAGGGGTAGATCGATTCACAATAACTTACGTTTGGTTCAAGATCTGATTGACTATAAAGACAAGATTAACGACGATGATATTTTGTTTTTTCTTGATTTCTACAAAGCGTTCGACACGGTCGAACACCCCCTTATCTTTGCGGCTTTAGAATTATATGGGTTTGGGAAACAGTTTATAAGTATAATTGGTAGTTTATATCAGGATACAAATTGTTCTGTTTCATTGATTGAAGGGACCACTTCACGCTTTAATATAAGCCGAGGTATTAAACAAGGTTGTCCCATTTCGCCTTTACTTTTTATTTTGGCCACTGAAATGATTGCTCTCGCAATTAAAAATTCTGACATTGAGCAATTAAAGGTTTTTGATGATTCCATAGTGATCAGTCAATTGGCTGATGACACAAGTCTTATTTCTAACGAATACTGATCAGGTTCCAAAAACTCTCCAAATTATTAATAACTTTTCTAATGCCTCGGGCATTAATTAGATAATTAATTTAAGTAAATGTGAAATAATGACATTGACAGAATCTCAGCTCACACAAACTTGCAATGTACCAGTTAAATCTAGGATCAAATATCTTGGTATTCTACTTACTAAAGATAAAGAACTAAGTGAATCACTTAATATATATAATAGAATTGATGAATGTAAGGCCAGATTGGACATACTGTAAATCTGTAAGACTGTTAAAATGTAAATCTGGAAGAAGACTTTGGTTTATTGCAGAAATTTAAATTATTAAAAGACCCTATTGTGTAATTATTTTTCTTTCTTTCTTTTCTCGCTTCATGTTTTTTTTTTCATTTGGATTGGTGCTCTGTTCTTGAGGATCTTCTTACGATGTTGTATTTCCTTATTGTATACGTTTTTTGCAATAATAATACAAAAAAATCTTTCTGCTCCCGTTAGTGACGCTTGCACGGTGTTTGCATACTCTATCACAGATGAAGTGAATTAAATGCAATTATTTGTCAAATATACAGACGTTTCAGAAACGTTTTCATGAGCAACAGATATATACTGATTATATACGTCTTAATACATCGCCATCTGTTAATATAGTGGGGGAATTTATGCTTTCATCAGTGTTTTATGATAAACGTGACTCAATATAACATTGCGACTACAGTAAAAAAGCTTTTACTGTTCTAAAAACACAGATTTGTGGCTATTATTGGAATTGAAAAGGTTAGCGTAAACCCGAAACACACGTGATAGTTGTCATGCGGTGAATCTGGCCAATCGTGAAATGGCTGTGTCGTATCAACGCTCCTGCAGCCTCTCTGCAGAAACTGCGCCGGCTGGGTCACCATTT